TGGCTCCTGATAAACCTCTTGACTCTGCAGTTCTTTCACGCCTCAAGCAGTTCTCAGCAATGAACAAACTAAAGAAAATGGCTTTACGTGTAAGATCTTAAAAAGTTTGTAATCCGCTTACATGTGTCTATATAGTGAAAACTCTCCTTGCTTGAAAACAACTTTTGCAACACGGTTTTATAGTTCGAAAGGGCAGAGAGATTACTTGAGGGATAGGAGGGAGGATTCCAAGAACTTCAGTAGTAAAGAAACGGAAATCAGATGTAGATGCAGTTGAAATATTTAAAAAAATGCAGAAAGTAGTATAGAAGAGTAGAAATAGGGATAGAAGAAGAAAGGAAAATTGTCGGGCGGGGTTGGGGGGTGGGTGGAGTATGAAAGCCACATCCTCGCACCGGTAAATGCAGATCATACTCACATAAGATTCTTACATCCATGTTTATCGTCATTTCTACATAATGTTATAACAAACCTTTCATAAGAACAAGGGTACCTACAACTATGAATCCCAAACAAAGAAACTGAGAGCCAAGTCAAGTTTGAACATTTCCCATGTGGAGTACTGGAAGGGAAGATTATATGTTATCTAGGATTTACCTATGATACAAAATGCACAAAAGTTGATAAAAAGTCGCTGTTTTATTTTATTATTTTTGTGGTTTGGGTGTAAGGTAAAGCCCTAAAACTGAAGTAACTGAGTCTACAGAAGCCCGGAAAGATTTCTTGAGGTTGTCAGCCTTACTACTCTGATCAATTGAAAAAGCATTTAACTAGGCACTTAATGGTATCTAAAAAATTGAAACGATGTTTAAGACTTTGACTGGACTTTTGCCCCTATCTTATATAAGATAAGGCTCAAGCACCTTTATTGCTGCTTCTTGAAATACTAAATTGCAGAAAAACCATTTAATAAAGAACCTTGAAATTGTTAACAAGTGTATTTCATTGACATATCGCAGTTATGCGAGAGTTTAAATTGTTCCCTTTCCTTTATCTAAAAGTTAAAAGCATGAAGGATTGAGACAATGAAGCTGCCTCCTTATATGTTAATGTTTGGAATGAACCAGCTCATTCGTTTAAATGTTGTAGCTTTTAAAGAGTTAGATGATTGCCACCAAATTTTAGAATGTGAATTCTCCTCTTTTCTTTTTTTGGATTGGTAAACAAACATCATTTTAGAATGTGAATTCTCTTTGAATAAGATTCTGTATCATGCCGCAATATCAAGCCCAAAGTGACTAAAAATTTAATGCTGATGTCCCTTGGAACTGCAGAATTGACAGTTCCGATGGCTGATGATTATGGAGGGATATGTTGCTCTATATGTAGTTTTTCCAGAATGGTTAATTAGGATAGCATTTTAAATACAGTGCTGTCTAAAAGTGGCAAATATTTTGGCAGTTTTTCATGATACCAATATGTATGCCATAAGTTGTTCTTTTCCGACAGTTGATTTTTTGTGCAATTATTGATTATATATAGTCAAACTAATGTCATGTCAAAATGAGTACCTGTGAGCATAGGTTCAAGTAATCAGGTCTCCTGCATTGTCTTATCCATATTCTGTCTTTGTAATTTCTGTTCCAGAAAAATTGCAAGATAAAAATTCCATTACCAATATAGTGGCCCATTCCTTAGTGCAGTTGAATTTTGTGGTTGTTCAATCTCCTTTTCCCCCCGATAAATGCTTTTCCTGTTTTTCTTATTTTCTTATTTCCTGAAGCATGCTTCCGTGAGGGAACATTTATGGAATGAGAAAAGCTAAAAAGTGAATGGAGCGAACGGATGATCCTCTTGCAGTTTTTACCAGAAGTAACTGAATTTTTAACAGATGCTGACATCACACTACTTAGTTATATTTTTCTTCCACTGGGATCTAAGTCCTGCTTGTGGTGATTTGTACTCGAAATCCTGGCAAAAGGCTATTTTTTCTTGAGAAAGAGAAATGTGCGTAGAAATTATAGGTTTTTCTCATAAATCCTGCTGAAAGTATCCTATTCCCCTTTCAGTTAATAATGTGTTGCTGATGACATTTGAAGTGAAAATCTGTTACGAAATAACCAGGATAATTTGAACTCAATGAGTGTCCTAATTTTTGCTGACATCGTTGTTGAATGGAGGTTTTTCTTTCAAGATGGAAGTTATAAGTTATAACTAAAATTGCGGTGCTTCTCTCTGCTATCTATATGATATTTACATTGACAAGTCCAGTCTCTATCAATTATTATTCAATGTTTTATTATGTTATATCTTTGATTCTTGCTTTGCTCATTCTCTTGTTATTTGTAGGTGATTGCCGAGAGGCTTTCAGAAGAAGAAATCGGTGGTCTCAAGGAGCTATTCAAAATGTTAGACACAGACAATAGTGGAACAATAACCTTCGAGGAATTAAAAGAGGGTTTGAGGCGAGTAGGTTCTGAACTGATGGAGTCTGAGATCAAGGATCTTATGGATGCGGTAAGAATTCTCCTCACCATGTTTTTTTGTCTTCGAGATATGCCCACCTAGTCCCCTAACCACACACTCGTGTTTATGCTCTTATGTAGTATAATTTTTCCGCTCAATTGACTACATGGATCCAACCTTATTTTATCTGACAGGCAGACATTGACAACAAT